AGTTCTTTTTAGTATCTCGATATGTGCCTTATGCCTCGACTTATGCCTCTAATTGCCTTTTTTTTTTTAACCTGTTTACCTTTTAGGTTGTTTGTAATCACACAATGTTTCCTTTTATTCCCCTTAAAAATCCCCTCTTTTGGGGAACATCACACACCGAGGTCTGTCAGGGGTGGGGGGCAAGGGGAGGTAAAACATTAGAACAAATACGTAATGCATGCAGGCCTTAAAACCTAAGATGATAGGTTGTTGGTGAAGCAAACCACCATAGCACATGTATACCTATGTAACGAACCTGCACATTCTGTACATGGGTCCTAGAACTTAAAGAAAAATAAAAATTAAAAAAGGAAAAAAAGTCCCCTCTTATATACAGCAGGAATTGTCCTCTTCTCTGTCATTCTGGATAGAGAGCTTTTCTGGAGGTCTTCCAGCTCCTTTACATCTTCCTAGAGGCCTGCACGTGATGTGCTCATGGCCCTCCAGATGCCTCTGCTGCTGACTCTGAGGAAGAGGGAGGGTAGAGAAACTCCTGCCTTGCCTGTTTGTAAACAGTTGCTAGGTTCTAGTGTATAATATCCAAAAGGTAACTATCCTCCAAGAAAATAGCTGCTGTGAAAAGTACTTTTTATTGGTACAAAGATGGTATCACCATTATCAGACCTTAACAGGGTGACAAAGGGTGCCACTTACACGTGAAGTAGTCTGCAAGGTGTATAATGACTACATCATGAGGATGGATTTCCCCTTTGTTGTTCTCATGCTAGTGAGTGAGTTCTCATGAGATTTGATGGTTTAAAAGTGTGTGACACTTCCCCCTTCAGCCTCTGTCTCTCCTGCTGCCATGTGAAGAAGTTATTTGCTTCCCCTTTTCCTTCTGCCATGATTGTAAGTTCCCTGAGGTCTCTCCAGAAGCAGAAGCCTGTATAGCTCATAGAACCATCGGCCAATTAAACCTCTCTCTTTTATAAATACCCAGTCTCAGGTAGTTCTTGAGTGTCAGTGCCTCTGCTGCTGACTGTGAGAAGGAGGAAGAGACGAAAATGCTTGCTCTTCACATATATAATCTCATTTTACAAACTGCCATCTTAGAGAGTAGTATCTATCACAGTGCTGTGCATAAACTATTTGCTGTGAAAATATATGAATAGTTTTATTTCCAGTGTTTGCAGATAATATCCAGGAATTTCAACATGACTTTATATTTGATAGCATAGCTTTGTGATTGCTAACTGTGAAGAGCTGGATACTGTTTGTGAAATAAACAATAATAATCATCAATCATCTGTACTACCCTTTGCCAGGAACTTGGCATTCATTATCTTGTATAATTTTCACAGCAACCCTAATTCGTGGGTACTAATATTATTCCCATTTTAAACACAAGGATTAGAAGCTTTAAGAGATTAAATCATTGATCTAAAGTCACATAGCTGGTAAGCTTCAAACCCAAGTCTTCCATCTCCAGGGCCCCCACAGTAGATTACTGAGAATCAAGGCAATTTTTCTCTACCCTGTTAATTTCTATGAAGTAAACATCATTCTTTATATAGAAAGAGCCAGAGATTAAAATCACAAATCATAACATCTATTATGTAACATTCAACTAAGAGAATCCTTTGAAAGGATCATTTTAACAGGGTTTTTTTTTTTAAATAGTTTCTAAACTGTGTTTTATTAGCCCACTATCAGCTAACTCTTTTCAACTTTTCAAAGGTAAATAGGCAAGCACCCATATCTGCTTAATGAATGTATGGAGTAAGTGTGTGATTCAAAGACATGACCCAGAATTTAGTCAGCCCATCAGCTTCACTTTTCCTCTCAAGGAACCAAAATCAGAGCGCTGCATTCTGGCTAATAAACTACCACCAACATTTTATTTAGTGAGTTTACATGTCAGTTACTTAAAATATGAATTAATAATAGTAATGTCTATAACTTAAAGTATGAAAATATTTGTAAATGATTTCCTGAGTAGAAAAAAAGTGTGTATTTCTGAATCATAGTCTTATTCTTTCTTTCTCTCCTAAATAGGTTTTTTGCTTAAGAAAATGTCTTAGGAATTAGTGATGAGTTGGACAAAAAATTATAGATTAAGGTATTAAATACCACAAGGCTCTTGCACGTTACTTTTTCATTCCATGTGGTTTCTGCTTTAAAAAAGTGTTACCTACTTTTGAATAATTGCACTTTGTTTTCAATATCTAAATATATCTGAACTTTCTTAGAATTCTAGAGAGCACTGATTTTGACAATTACTTTGTTGGCTTTAAAAGGACTAAGAATTCACTATAATTGAGCTCTACATTCAAAAGAAGCCTGGTGCATTAAATTTTGTCTTAGCTGTATGGTATTTTATGAATGTCAAGAGATGGCCAGTTTTCAGATCTTATCTTTGATGATATAAAATAAAGCAGTTACACTTTAATGCTTGCTAAATGCTCACACCCATGCTAAGCCCTTGGCATGCATAATCTCTTTAATACTTACTTAATCTTACTGAGCCTCGGTTTTCTCATTTGTAAAATGAGAGTAATAAGAACCCCTACCACATAGACTGGTTCTAACCTATTAAAGGTCACATGGCTCATTAGTAGAAGAGTTGGGATTTGATTACAGGTATATCCAGCTCTAAACTACCAAGTCCTAACTACTATAGTATAGTGGACACAGATAAATATGTACCTCCGTATCTAAAAGTTTGTCCCCATGGTCCTAATGGACTCTTTTATATAGCCAACATGGTGAAAGCACATCTCTACTAAAAATACAAAAATTAGCTGGATGCAGTTGTACACTCCTATAATCCCAGCTACTCGGGAGGCTGAGGTGCAAGAATCGCTTCAACTGGGGAGGTGAAGGTTGCAGTGAGCCAAGATCACACCACTGCACTCTAGACTGGGTGTACGCTCTAGCCTGGATGACTAAGCAAGACACCATTTAGAAAAAAAAAAAAAGATGGGCAAAGCTGTTTCCTTGTAACTCTCTATATACTATCTGCCCAGACATCTGTTTATAAGTCGTCTGAGCCATTCTCAGGGAAGACACAATTTGCTTTATTAATTTGCTTTTCTGGAATCTTTTTAGACCTGCAGTTTAGCAAATTGTAGCCTGTTTAGTAGTTACTAAAATGTACTGAAATTCACTTTCAGCATGATTTACAGAAAGGAGCCCAAGGAGGTACCTTACACAAACTCAGAATTAGCCTGTTCTCCATACAGACTGCCCCCAATTATGGCCTTATTGACTGATATCCAGAATCACATACATTTCTCTTGATCTCTCCAAGGAAATCTCTTTATCCTTCAACACACTGGTTTCAGGAAAAGGAGGCAACTGACTTTAAATCTGCAGCACTGGGTTTAAGATAAAAGTCTGTCATTGAAGCTGCGTGGTTTCAGAGAACCTTAGTTTCTTCATGTTCAAAATGGGAATAGTATTTTCCCTGCTTGTCCCCTCAGTTGTTTCAAAAATCAAAGTAGAAAAGTACCCTACAAATGAGAGATAAAGTGGCATTATCTCAAAGGCAAAAAGGTTTGGGGCCAAGCAGATTTAGGTTTAAAGCTTGATTTTGGTGCTTACTAGCTGCATGATTTTGGACACATATTTCAACCTGAGCAATTGTAAAGATTAAAGGAGATATACCATCCATCTGCAATACAACAAGCTCTAGCTCAGGCTTGTCCAATCCACAGCCCGAGGACGTGTAGGTCGGATATGCGGCCCAGGATGGTTGTGAATGCAGCCCCAAATTTGTAAATTTTCTAAAAACATGAAGAGATTTTTTGTGGAAAATTTTTAAGTTCATCAGTTATTATTAATGTTAGTGTACTTTTTGTGTGACCCAAGGCAATTCTTTTTCCAGTGTAGCCCAGGGAAGCCAAAAGATTGAACACTGCTGCTCTAGCTAACAGGATTTCTTGATTAGCATTTGGTTATAGGTAGTCATAGAGTAAGAAAATAAAGGGAGGAAATATTAAAAGGGCATGAATGAAGATGTAAATTGATGCCATACAGAAATATGATATGAGTTTATGGTAATCTGAATGTGACCTGCATGATTTTAGTCTTCCCAATAGAGTATTAGATAGCTAGCAACAAACTACAAAACTACAACAGTCTTTCATTAAACTGTCTTTTCTCTAAAGAGTCACAAATTGCAGATGAAATCTAAGTCTAGATTTCATCTTTTGACCATGTCGCTGCAATATAAAGTTCTTCAGTGAAAATCTGTTAAATAGATATGTGCTTGCTCTTCTCTGGAACCTTTCCAATGTTCTATGCTGCTCAAGTTTATCAACACAGTTTACAAGGTCTTCCAAAGACCCATTAAATGTATATCATGTGCCTAACTGATGAAGTTGTGCCCACAAAGATGATGTATGCAAAGTCCTATGATCATGCTGTGGAAAAAGTTGGTTATTTTATATTTCTTCTGAATCAACAGCTGAGTTTAGTACAACATATGCTTTATTTTTGAGACAGGGTCTCACTTTGCCCAGGCTGGAGTGGCAGTGGGATGATCATGGCTCACTGCAGCCTCGACCTCCCTGGGTGATCTCCATCTTAGCCTCCCAAGTAGCTGGAACTACAGGCACACGCCACCACTCCAGACTAATTTTTTCTGTAATTTTTAGAGACAGGGTTTTGCCATGTTGCTCAGGCTGATCTCCAACTCCTGGGCTCAAGAGATCTGCCCACTTCGGTCTCCAAAAGTGTGGATTTTACAGGCAGGTGCCACCACACTCGGCCAGCGTACTCTTTTTTTAAATAACTTTGATTATGCTTTAGATAAGTTTCCTTTTTGAGGGTATGAAGAAAATACTCATGTGCTAAAATATTTTAGAGGTCAGAAGAAACAGCAATTGAAATATGATAAATGAACAGTAAAACTAAAAATAGAATGTTTCTCTTGAAGTGTAAAATCCTTCAAGTCTCTGAAGCATAGTAAAATGTGATGCTTCTACATTGTTGCTTTTGTTTTGCTTTGTCTTCCCTAGAATGACTACAAAAAACTGTCAGTGCAGTGCAAAGACTTTGTTGTTGGACTCCTTGATCTGTGCAGAAACACAGAAGAAGTCGAGGCCATTCTGAATGGGGATGTTGAAACGCTCCAGAGTGGTGATCATGGTCGCCCAAATCTCAGCCGTTTAAAACTTGCCATTAAATATGAAGTGAAAAAAGTAAGGTCAGGCATGAAGCCCGTTTACATTATTTTGGTTCTTGTTGGTGCTAAATAAGGATAAAGGGTTGATATTGTTAGATTGAGCTGGAATTTCCTAATTAACGTTTGTACTAGGCAGATTCTCTAACAAATCATAAGCATCTGTACTAGTTGTGGGGCACTTTACCTACACTAAATGTCAGTCTTTAAAATCTAGACGTATTGAAATAGAACTTTGCAGGGATGGCCACTTTCTTTGACTGGGCTAATGCTATAACAATGACTTCATGTATCCAAATTCTAAAATATTTTTTATAAGACAAGAACATTACTATTTGAGACTCAACTCCATTATCCCATTTGTTGCTGTTTTCCAATAATGCCTTCAGTTCCTTCTTTACTGCATTAGACTTTCCTCCAGCTGCATCTTCATTTGTGAAACATTTTTAGTCTCTGTCTTCAAGCATTGTCCCCATTCTCTACTTTCTTAGATTATATATCTTTTAAAAAGTTGGCCAGGCGCAGTGGCTCATGCCTGTAAACCCACCACTTTGGGAGGCCTAGGCAAGTCAATCACTTGAGATCAGCAGCTGGAGATGAGCTTACGCAATGTAGTGAAACCCTGTCTCTACTAAAACTATAAAAATTAGCTGGATGTGGTGGTGTGCACCTGTAGTCCCAGCTACTTGGGAGGCTGAGGTGGGATAATCATTTGAAATCTGGTGGCAGAGGTTGCAGTGAGCCAAGTTCATGTCACTGCACTCCAGGTTGGGTGATAGAGTGAGACTTTGTCTCAAAATAAGTAAATAAATAAAAAATAAAAATGTTTTTAAAGGTAAATTTTTCTAATAAAAGTAACATATGCCTATGATAAGTTTTCAAATACTATAAACATGTCTCCTCCCCATTTTTCCAGTTCTGAATGAAGAATAAGGAACCATTGTTATGTTTCTCAACACAAATTTCTTTCTTGGACAACTTCACCTATCAGTCAATAAATGTCCACTTGATCTTTTTAAAGGATGCATTGTTATCTCATTATATTCATTTAATCTGTTTACTATTTAGGGATGTTTAATATAATTTTCAGATTTTTGTTACTACATTTTTGTTTATTTTTTATGCAGCAAACATATTTGTTCATATAGCTTGCTTACTTGCATGACTTTTACCTGTAAACAAAAATTCTTAGATGGGGAATTAATATGTCAAATTTTTATTTTTAGGTTTCCAAACATTTGCTAGGTTTCCCTTCAAAAATGGTATACCAGTTTCCATACACACCAACAGCGTGTGACTGGGCTTATTTCTTCCACCTGCAATGGTATTATCCAACTTTACCATTCTGAGTGGATAAACATTTTATCTTGTTTTAATTACCTTTGAGGTTAACCAACCTTAAGATGCACTTGTAGTTCTTTTATATAATCTGTCCTTTGTATAACCTTTTAATATTTTTTACCAATTTTTATTTTAGGATATTGTTTTTTGTATATTAAATAACTCTGCCATATGTATGGCTCAGTTGTAAAAATAAATACATGAAAATTTAAAAAATGCCCTCAAAAAATAAATATTGAAATTTAAAGGCTTCTTAATTAAAAGAGACTTTGCACAAGAATAGAAAGAGTGATCAACAGAACAAAACAGGCAGTCCAGAAACAGACCCATATTCAAATGGGAATTTAGTATAAAATGTGTGACATTTTAGGTCAGTGCAGGAAAAGTGTTATTTTTAAAAAGTATTTAGGCAACTGAGTTAATATGATACCTTCCTAGATGAAAAACAATATAATCATAAAAGCCCTATGTAAAACATAGATTAATCTTTTTATAATATTGAATTAAAATTTTTTCTATGCTTTGAAAGAAAGCTCATTAGTCAAAAAGGAAAAGTTCAATAAATTGAAATCTTCAAATTTATGTAAAATATATGGCAACAAGCAAATGGCAAAAGTTTCTAATGTTTCGTGTTTGCTCTTTAATTCTAACTATATTTCATCAGAATGCATGGAAGTATTAAAATTGTTTATGCTGAACCTTTCTTTAATCAAACTGTTAAATGTTTCATCACTTCCCTGCTAGTTTGTAGCTCATCCAAACTGCCAACAGCAACTTCTCTCCATCTGGTATGAGAATCTTTCTGGTTTACGACAGCAGACAATGGTGGTCAAGTTCCTTGTGGTCCTTGCTGTTGCCATTGGACTGCCCTTCCTGGCTCTGATTTACTGGTTTGCTCCATGCAGCAAGGTATGTATGTGAAGATTGGACCTCTATTTTCTACCAGAAGTATGTCTTACATGGGGAAAAAAATCTTATCTCCAAAATGAAAATTTCAGGGAATTATAGTTGAGTTTCAGTAATCTTTATCGTTTGTAATATTACAAAATAATACTTGTTTGAATTTAAATAATTTTTATTACTTTTAATATTTTAAAATAATACATATTTGCTATAGGAAACAAAAAAGTGGAAAAGTTGAAATTCACCTGTAATATCACCACTGTTAATGTGTGAAGGAAAACTCAGTAACTATATTTGTTTATTTCCTTTGACTCTTCTCTATATACATCTATGCATATACTTGTATATATCTTAACAAGGCCATAGTACCATTGAGCATGTATTTCAAATGACATCCTAAAAGTTAAACACTTTCTGTTTCTCCTCTGGCAAAATTTGAGATGAAAGTTTTGTCTTGTATTTATTTTAGATAATATGACCAGATAAATCTTAAATGAAAGGCCATCATGTAAATACTAATTAATACTTGTTTCAGTAAAGAATATATATATTTTTAGGGAGTAAGTACACCAGAACCTGACAGCAGAAAGAGCCTATTTTCTTAGCAAAAGCTATCTGCCCAGACTTTGGTAAAAATGCTCTGTTCAGATGGATCTAGCCTTTCATTAGTGTGACAGGATAGGTTTGAGAAATATTGACCAATCATTCTGTTAACAAGTAGAGGAATTTGTGTCCTGCATTGCTAACAAGCCTATTCTTCATGTTTTTGAAGCCACATGCCTGGATCTGTTTAACTCTGAGAAGCAGATTGAAATAATTCTGAAGCTTAGTGGCTAAATGTCTGCTGGCTATTAATGTGCTGTGTAGAAAGAACTATCAGTAGGGTCACTTCCCCTGCTTAAACATGGGCATGATTCATTTTCAAATGTTCATAATATGTGGGCGCAAACACAAACATCACTATTACTAACATGTTGTTTTGTAATTACTTGGTAATATAAGTGGTGTTTTAGCCATATAAGGACTGTTCAAAATGACTCATGCTAGAAAGCTTGTGCAAAGCCTTTTAGACAGTGGAAACATAATTATTTCTAGTAATGATGACAGGAACTACTGGAAATTGGACATTTTCTCATGACAGTGAAATTCATCATCATAGATATTTTTCCCTTAAAAATATATAAGGCCAAAATTTGATATCTTAGATACATAAACTATAAATGAGGAAAATAAAATGAAAATAGTGCAATTTACTAGAAATGATATCTATAGTACAGATTTTCATCTAGAAAGTTAAATTTTCCCCCTTTTTAATATAAATGACAAATTTTGCCTGGAAAAATAATGTGTATACATGGACATAGAGTGTGGAATGATAGACATTGGAGACTTAGAAAAGTGGAGGTGCAGAAGAGGGGTGGGTGGTGATAAATTATTTAATGGGTAGAATGTGTATTATTTGAGTGATTGGTACACTAAAAGCCAAGACTTCACCACTATGCAGTGTAACAAAATTGCACTGATAACCCTTAAATTTATACAAACACATTTCTAAACCGTCCTCACTAGAATATAAGTTTTATCTATGTAGGTAGTGTCTTTGTTCTTCTTCTCCTTCTATTTCCTGAGTCATCTGAGATTTAAACTAAATTAAACTGGGGGGAGTTTTTGAATTATACCTGTTCTCATTCTGTAACCAGTTAAATTATAACCTCTTTTCTAAACTGAATAATTTTCCTTGTCCATAACCAGTGTGTTAGAAAGCATATCTTCCAGAGTGTCTGGTGCTTTGACAGAGACTATTTTTGGCAGTCCTTAGATTTACACATTTCTTAAATTTTGATTGAATTCTAATTAAACTGACTTCCTTTACTATTTCTTCTTTCCTGGTCATATTTCTTTCTGGCATCTGTTTTCCATTCTCGTTTATGAACATTGAGGCTAATAATCAAATTTAAAGGACACTGTCAAGGTAGTTTTTTTTCTCCTATCCAAAACATATTTTACTGTTTACTATTTTATCCTTTGAAGCATGATGATAAAACCAATTTTACAGTTTTCCATTTGCAACAAACATGCTTTTGAGTCCACAGGATTTTTTGTGGGAGGAGATTGTTTCAGATAAATTAGTGGTTTTATTCCAAATATATTTAAAATATTTTGGATTTTCCAATATATCTATGAACATTAATAAGATCAAATTGCAGGCCTATGCACTGTGACTGAGTGAGTCCCTATTTCTATTTAAAGTTGGTTTTGCTATAGGAAACAAAAGTTGGTTTTCTTTTTTCCCCTTTCCAAAATTCCTTTTTTTTCCCCACTTGCTCTCTTTCTTATACTATAGTCCAAATATCAATTATTTTTGCTCATTACAGTAAAAATAGTCACACTGTAATTTCAGATAATTTTAGTTTAAGCTCGTCTCAACCTTTTTCATTTCTCGGTAGTATTGAGCAGCTAGGTATTTAGTCATCAATAAATACCTAAAGAGAGTATGACATATAATATTTAAAGACAGGTATTTATTTCAATCCTTATCCTCAGTCATTTTCCAGGTTCATCAGTTGTTCAATTTCTTCATCTAGCTCTCCTACTTTGCAGTTTTTTTACTAAAAAGGGTAACTTGCTTTAATTCCTAAAGTCTAATGAGAGATGCCCAAATTGCCCTTAAAGAGAAATGCAATTCTCAAATTTTGTAAGAAAAGTAAAGGCTGTGAGGTTTCAAACATTCCCATTTTAGTTTCTAGGCAACCAGCTTTTTGTTTGCTAAACGAAACAAAACAAAACAAAAAACCACCAACAAACAAACCAAAAAATACCCTCAGACTTAATAAGCAGAAGAAAATGCCTGGATTGATACTCCCTTTAGAATAAAATAAAGGAAGAGTAATATGATGTAAAGGTCAGTAGGCCAATGGAGAAAAAAGAGAAGCCAGGTAGGGGTGAGGCACACAGATCAGACACCCTGCCCTGAAAATTGATATTCTGTGTCTGGCCTGACATTCAAAATGTCAAGAGAAGTTATGAACTACATGATTGGTTCCAGATCTAATTTTTATGATTTTGAAAACCACATAGACAAATAAAGGTATAGAAATAGAGAACACCAATTGTGTTCCTTCCATGACAGCATTTATCTTTTCCAAGTCTTAAAAGATAATTCCTTGTTTCCACTAATAATTTATATATGTAGGTACATTGATGAGAAAGTATGAAATTATTCTGTAAACCAAATAGAAGTATTAACTCAGGAACAAGAGTGCCTGGGTTCAAGTTCCAGTTCTACCATTTATGAGATATGTGACCTTGGACAAGTTTCTTGACCTCACTTCCTCAGTTTCTTCATCCAAAGCAGGCATTTGAGTGCACCTACCCTTTTGTTGTGATGATTACGAGTTAACAGTGTAAAACACTTAAACAGTGCCAACTAAGTGTTGGTTGTATTTTATTAGTTTGTAAAGTTTTCTGTAATACCTCGTTTGAAACACTGCTGAAAGCTGTGGACCGTCTCCTAAAGGGCAGGGGGAACTGCACATACAGTTTGAGTTTTGTTCATTTCAGAGGATGTCCAGACCTCTTAGTCACATCCTAGATCCTCACTCTGCCTAGGTGAAGATCTGTACATCTCAGACAGAAATGAATCTTGTACTATAAAAGGCACACTAGCTTTTATTGTCCCCATATTTCATATAAAGTCTGGTTTTCACATAATTTGGAAATGTGCTCATTGTTACTCAACTAAGAAGGGAATGAAACTGGAACCTGAACCTAAAATGTTGGACTTTAAATCCAGTGTCCTTCCAGAACATTGTTCCAGTACTGCCCTGCTGCCCTACCCTCAACTGGGAGTTCTCTTCTTGGTACTCATGATATATACATTTTTTGAGATGGAGTCTTGTTCTGTTGCCAGGCTGGAGTTCTCAGTGCAACCTCCACCTTCCGGGTTCAAGCGATTCTTCTGCCTCAGCCTCCCAACTAGCTGCGACTACAGGCGTGTACCACCATACCCAGCTAATTTTTGTAGTTTTAGTAGAGACAGGGTTTCACCATGTTGGCCAGGATGGTCTTGATCTCTTGACCTCATGATCCACCCACCTTGGCCTCCAAAGTATTGGAATTACAGGCATGAGCCACCATGCCCAGCGGGTACTCATGACTTTTACTGCATTGGCAACATCACCAGAATAGCAATATCCACTCAGGCCTGTCAATGGAGTATATGTGAGGACAACCACCAAGGTTCCTTGTGAAGTAGACTCAGCTTCATATTTTCATTGCCACTTCCTCAATATATCAGGCCCACTAAATTAGTTTGCTTTACATGAATAATGCTGATATTATGCTCTACATTGTCTCCACAATATTATATATTTTAAGAATTTAAATATCCTTTATTAGAAAAATACATTTATTTAGCTATTAATCGAGAACATTGGCACATGTAGGTAAAGAATGTGAATAGAATTTTGTAACAGCATAAACATATTACTCTATCATGAATTACATAAATATAAACAATTATCTCAGGAGAACACTGGAATATGCAGATGTTTATTCTTGCATGTATTTATGTATGCTTTGCAACGTGTACAAAACAAAGTTCAGATTTTCTTTTGGTGTGTGTTGTGGCAGATGGGGAAGATAATGCGTGGACCATTCATGAAGTTTGTAGCACACGCAGCCTCCTTCACCATTTTTCTGGGACTGCTAGTCATGAATGCAGCTGACAGATTTGAAGGCACAAAACTCCTTCCTAATGAAACCAGCACAGATAATGCAAAACAGCTGTTCAGGATGAAAACATCCTGCTTCTCATGGATGGAGATGCTCATTATATCATGGGTAATAGGTAAAGACTGATTTTCTGTCATGATTTCTCTTTGCAGTCTTAGCAGTTGGATTGAATGACACTGATTGTTTCACACATCAGTTATACAAATGTGTGCAATATGATACAATGCACTGCACATCATAATTTTCTTTGTGTTCTTAAAGCACAGTTGCTTTGGGTTTGTTATCAGTGCCATAGTCTCACATGCTGTGCGCTTTTTGCATTTCCAAGGAAAACCCAGGAAGAAAAACAACAGGATAGTATCAGTCATACCCCACCAGTGACACAAGGCTATTATAATATTCATATTTTGAGAGAGAGCTGTGATTTCAAGCTTAAAAACAACCATGATTTTACATTGAAATTTGATAGGAATTGAAGCACTTGCATTTATTGAACATTTATTATATGTCAGGAATGATTCCAAGCACTTTATATACATCAAATCACATTCTCTGCGTCTCAATTTTCTAATCTATAACATATAATCACTTATGTTTCATAGGCGTTATGTAAGGATTAAGTAATTTACTTTAGGACTCCTGGGTGGTAAGTGAAAGAGAAGGAATATGGTCTTAGTTATACTATTTGTCTTTAGAATCAATCATACATGTACCTTGCCATTAAATATAATGCAAACAAGAAAGATACTTCGATTAGATATTTATGAATAAATAAATAAATCCAGTGGCTAAGTGCCTTTGCTAAGTAATGAGGATACTAAAGTGAATGAGACACTGTCCCTGTGCTCAAGGAAGTTAAGTCTGGGAGGCAGGTCAGTAAGTAAATCAATAATTAAAATTCAACATGACAAATGCTGTAATTGAGGAGTTATTGGGATATTATGAACATACGCAGATCGGGCATCTAAATCTGAGGTGGGATGTGAAGTGGAAGGGGCAAGAAGTCCTTCCCGGGCAGTGCCTTCAATTTGATACTTTAAGAGAATGTTATCCAGACTTGTTTGGGGGACAAGGATACTACAAGGCACAGGAACATTAGAGGTGTGGAACTATGGCAACACCTGGCACACTCGAAATATGATGAGTTAGGCAGAGAAGGAGCCGGGGTGTGTTTATGGATGTGAGTAAGGTGAGATAAGGGTGGAGAAATGGCTAGAGGATGCTTTTCAGCAACGGGCGATCTGATCTGATCATGTTTTAGAAAGGTCACAGTGGTTGTGAGATCGAAGGTGGCTTTAAAGAGTCCAGAGGCTGAGACTCAGTGGAAGTGCTCCCGGTGAGAGGGATGAGGCCTGGAACTCAGGAGATGGAGGAAAGGACTTGAGAGCACCCTAATAGGTAAACCCCAAACAACTTGGTGATTATTGCACATCAGGAGGGAGAGCTGTGGGTTCTGCCCTGGATCAGCTGGGAGGGACTGCAGTCTCTAAGAGGGAGAATAGAGAAGGAAGATCATGCTTGGGACTGGAGGAATGAAAAGCTGATAATGTTTAGATTATGATTGAAGCGTCCATGGAATTTCAAGGTGGAAATGTCCATTCAGTAATAGAAAATATGATCCCTGGGAGTATTTGGGTTTTGAGTAAAGTTCCAGCAATCTTGAATTCCCAGATGGCACAACAGACATGTTCAAGAAATTTCAGGTAATTGTAGTTATTCAACTTTTCACTAAGAGCTTATATGTCAGTTTTACATAGGAGCGCTATTTTCCTATTAGGTGAAATATGACTGTTTTAGTACAAGATGAAACTTTGAAAAATTAAATATTATATAAGGGGTAAAGAATTTAAAAAAATTTATATTAAGGGCTATGAGGAGAATGATTTATGGTAAAGAATAAAATGAACATATTATAATTTATTTATATTTTCGAGATGGAGCTTCACTCTTGTTGCCCAGGTTGGAGTGCAATGGCATGATCTTGGCTCACTGCAACCTCTGCATCCTGGGTTCAAGCAATTGTCCTGCCTCAGCCTCCTGAGTAGCTGGGATTATAGGCATGTACCACACCCGGCTAATTTTTTTTTTTTTTTTTTTTGTATTTTTAGTAGAGACAGCATTGTCCATATTGGTTAGGCTGGTCTTGAACTCCTGACCTCAGGTGATCCACCTGCCTTGGCCTCCCAAAGTGCTGGGATTACAGGCATGAGCCACTGTGCCTGGCCAGACATATTATGTTTTATATATAAAACATGTATAAACTTAAAAGCACACTAATAGGTAAACCCCAAACAACTTGGTGGTTACTGCACATCAGAAGGAAGGACCTGTGGGTTCTGCCTTGGATCAATAGATAGTGGCTGCAGTCTCTAAGAGGGAGAATAGAGAAGGAGGATCATGCCTGGGACTGGAGGAATGAAAAGCTCCGAATACAACTAGACTACATGGGTTCAGTGAGTTATATTTTATACAACATGTTCATTTCATTCTTTACATAAATCATTTTCCTCATATACATTTTTTCCTTTTTCATTTAGAAACCTAAGACAGGAATATTAAATGAAGCTTTAATCAAAAGCATTTTCCTTGTAACTTTTGCCCCATCAGCCTTTGTATTTGACTTCAGAGACTAGGGCCAGTTATTTATTTAAAGGAAAAATAATGAACAACTCAGGACAGCTGATGCTTTTGTAGCCTATGTTAGACTTCTGGTTCAGTTTCTGACACTGGTATTTATTTTCTTTTTTGAAGTTATTCTTGAAAGAAAGTTGTTGTACTTTCTGGAAATGTTAATAAGAAGTGGCCTACTTAGATGAGATATTGGGTGTGTTATGTGGGCTTGAGGGAGAGAGTGACACTGAGTCACAAGGCAAATTTATCTCATTTTTATTTGACAAAAAGTTGAAAGGCTGAATGACAAAACCGATGTGCTAGGAGATGTTGACCAGGCAGAACAGTGAGTTCAAATCAATGAGAGGATGTATGCCAGGAACACAGGGAGGAGGGCATGCTTGAAGACACTCGTAAAAAGGGCCTTAGGAGCACTTGTCACTTAATGGCCAGTCTGAGCTCTTGAGAAAGCAGATGCAGTCCTGGGCTGACTCTTCAACAGAAGGAGAGGAGCCCAGTCGAGGGCAGTAATTACTCTATGGCCAGACCACACCGGCAGGCTCCGGGTGTCATGCACAGCCAATTGGCAAACTAAGAAGAGTTTCAAGCACAGCAGTTAGGAGAGTGAGTGGTTCTCAGAACAGCTCTTGAGGGGACTGGGGAAGTTTACCCTAGACGGTGAGGCATGGGGTAAGATCCAGTGGAATCTGAGGCTTGTTTATTCCAAGGGCTCCATTTAGAGAAAAAGGAGACAAAGTGAGGACTTAGGAGCCTGGGCAAGTAAAGGCATCTTGAAGCTTCAGTTTCATGGTTAACCTGCCCCTGCTAGCAAAAAACAAATTTATTGAGCACATAGGTGGGATTTTTTTGGTTGTTTTTTTGTAAAAAGAAATTTGAAGATAGAGGGAGCTGACTCATTTGCTACCTCTCCAGAGGGCAAAAATAGAACCAGTGGATCCACATTGAAAGAATATTCCGAAAATTCAACAGTGGAATGAGCAACCTTCAGAATTAGTTAAGCACCTTATCGTAAGATCTATACAAGCAGAGGCTTGATTCCTGTGAAGTCTCCTGCTTGGGGAGAGCATGAACTTGATACAAGATTTCAGAGTCTGCTTAGCAGCTCTCAGGGTTTCTCAGGACAAATGAGACAGGAACTTTTCCTTTGAGCAGAATAATTCACTGATTTGTTTTAGTTTTTAAACTTCAGGAAGACATCATTTGTGCTAAGAATTCTACTTCTTAAAGAGAGGTAGAGAAAACATTGGTGCCAAGAATTCTACTTCTTAAAGAGAGAAAGATAACAGAAGATGGAGAAGTGGGAGGAATAAAAGGAAGCTTTGAAAACAACTAGACTGCATGAGTTCAAATGTCCCTTTGGTCCCCATGCTTGTTACTCTGAACCATCCTCATCTCCTAGTGAGGCTGACAGGAACCCAGGGACCAAGTAGGGGGAAAAAGCTGCCATGTTTCCTGTTATAAATTTGATCCCCCAGATTATATATGAATTCAGTCCTAGTCCCCTCTTAACTTGAAACAACTCAAAATAAGTAATGATGTCTTTTCTTAAATCTATGTCCTCTGTGCATTGAATACTGGTTTTGGGAAAAGGCACATGATGTGCTCTTGGAGAGCAGAGACAGGGCATTTTCTTAATCCCTACAGGGCTATGCAGCCATTCACATAGCAGGTTCTGCGATTGACATTTAGGGCAAATGTGAGAATCTGGGGCAGGTGGTTGCTGAGGGTGAGGAGAAGATTAATTTCAACTAGAGGCTGTGAAGGACTTCTCCATGGAGGCAAGTTTTGATCAATTGTTGCTGTTTGGGATGTGTTTCTCCAAATGGCTCCAGAGGGAGGCAGGATGTCAGAGTAAGGTATCTTAAAGACAATGGGGATAAAGCCACTTCTTTTTAATTTAAAAAGTGGGATTATTCAAATTAAGAAAAAAATACATGTGCCAATCATGGAAAATTTTAAATAGTAAGCATTCAATAAATGTCATATTTTTTTCCAAGTACCAGACACTGAGCTGTGTATTTCACATGGACTATTTTATTTAAGGCTCAAAACAATCTAGTGAAGCAGGATCGAATCAATGTCATTCCCGTTTTACAAAATGAGTTTTAGATAGTTTAAATATCTTATCAAAGACTTCATAGCTGACAAATGGAAGAACAAATTCTCAAATTCATGGTAGTCTTATCTCAAATTTAGTTCCTAAGTACTATGCTAAAATTTTGAACAAATATGCAGTACTATTAATAATTCCACCAGAAAAAGGCAACTACTATTAATAAAAGTTCCTGTCATCCCTTCTAGGCTTTCACTGTGCTGGTTTTAAACATTTTTACTTAGCATGACAATATAAATTTTTTCCAGTGGATGTTAGTCCTGGTCATGTTCAACAGGTTTATTAAGGAAAATGGAAATTTTATTAAGGAACATTTCTTTTGAGAGGAAATGGCTAGAGAGCTGAGGAAAGTCTCAGGAGCTCTCTGACAGAGATGCAAGTCAAACCCCAAGGGACAGAGAGCAGGCAGGAAGGTTGCGTAGAAGCATCCTAGATCTTTACACAATCTAAGGCAAGTTTGGCAAGGCTGTCATGAAATCCTTGAGCTAAAGTCGGCCATCAGAAGAGTCCCATGTCTTCCAGGAAGAGGCACCCTCAGTAATCAGCTGAGAGCAGCCTGAGGAAACACGGCTTTGAACAAAAGTGGCCATGGTTTTCAAAAGGCAGTAGGTGAGGCCTGTGATCAATCAAATTCCTATAATTGTATGTCACTGAGGCACATTCTCATGGTCACTGTCCCATGGTAATTAATAAAATATCATATTAAATGGCTGCATAATATTCCATCTGTGGAAGTTCCACTTCCATTTTACTTCCATTTTGAGTGTGTGGGGTTATTATAAGGTCTCCTATAATAAACATCTTTTAAATATATTTTTACATGTGGAATTAATTGATCAGCAGGATGTTTGTTATTTTTAAGGTGTTCAGTGAACTTTGTCAAATTGCTTTGAGGTATGCACTGATATTTCTAGACTATGATATTTGTGAGGATTTGGGGATTATGGTGGGATGGTAGGTTGGGGACAAATTTTGAAGGGTTTTGTAATGTCAGCCTGAGACCTTTCAGACATATATATTTTTTTTATAGAACAGCTAAGACTGAATGCGGTTGAATTGATATTTTAACCCCTTTCTGCTGCAGGCATGATATGGGCTGAATGTAAAGAAATTTGGACTCAAGGCCCCAAGGAATATTTGTTTGAGTTGTGGAATATGCTTGACTTTGGTATGTTAGCGATTTTTGCAGCATCATTCATTGCAAGATTCATGGCATTCTGGCATGCTTCCAAAGCCCAGAGCATCGTCGATGCAAATGATACCTTGAAGGACTTGACAAAAGTAACACTGGGAGACAATGTGAAATACTACAATTTGGGTGAGTTTACAGTAAACAGTCAATGTAAATTAGTAAAAGTACAGAATTTTCTTGTGAAACAGATGTCAATAGTAGTTTGGTTACTGCCCAATTCTTATAAAATTGGTTGTTAGTTTCCAACATCTGTATCTGAAGAATGAGTATCTATATGTGAGAAATATGCTTTCTGCTTTTTCCTTTGATTTTTCTACTCCCTGGAAAGCTCTCTTAATCACAAGACTCATCTCTCTTTACCTCTTAGATCAATTGGCTAATTACCAAACTTCATTGAGAATACCTGTATTATGTCCTGAATTTATTTCCCCCCCTTTTTAATTAAAAATAGTTCACATTTTATCCATCTGTCTATATCTCTCTCTGTGTGTGTACACACACACATACACAGAGATATATATATAGTCAATGGAATACTATTCTACCTTTTAAAAGAAGAAAATCTTGTCATTTGTAACAACATAAATGAACTTGGAAGACATTATGCTGGGTGAAATTAGCTAGACACAGAAAAACAAAAGGTATATGATCTTATTTATTTATGGAATCTAAAAAAAAGCCAAACTCAAAGAGGTAGAAGGTAATGGTGGTTGTCAGGGGTGGGGTAAGGGGCATAAAATGGAGAGATGTTGGTCAAAGGTACAGAGTTTACAAAGGGTACACAGTTAGGATTAATAAGTTCTGGAGATATACAACATGGTGGCTGGAGTTAATAATGTACTGTATACTTGAAAATTGCTAAGAGAGTAAATTTTAAATGTTCTCACCACAAAAAAGTAAACATGTGAGGTGAAGAATATGTTAATTTGCTTGACTTAATCTTTGTACAATGTATACAGACATTTATGAAAACACCAAGTTGTGCCCCATAAATATATACAAAAAAAAGTTCACATTTGAGTACCATGTTCATTTAAGATATATAAAAAGTACTTGAAAGCAAAGGAATTGTTGGGATCTCTGAGGGCCCCCCATCAATAACACTACTATTTCCCAACCAGGCTTTGAATTAGTGGAGAAATAAAACAAGGAATTAATATGGAGGCCAAATCATCACCGCTTACACTGATAAAATCCAGGATGGATGACATAGGCCTGAGTCTATTAGCTAATGGGTTCAGTAATACTGAACCCCAGAATTAGGCAGACATATCCTCCAATTTCTAGATAGCAATGGACCAGGGCAGTCCTCCCCACAAAAAGAGGATGGCAGCAAGTGCCCTATGGAGTGAGATCTTCCATAGAGGACCAGAGGAGAATTTCCAAGAGAGAAAAGGTAACACCTAACCAGCCATGCTCAGTTATTCATCCCAATTTAGCCATCAGATAAGTCATTCCAGCTTTCCAGGAAGAAAGTGATTAAGGTATGGAATTTGGTTCAGGTATTTACTTAAGAAGACTACCACCTCATAGAAACCTGGATAGAAAAAATATATTTTCTTTGAATTCTTTTTCAAACCCTCTGATAAGAAATTAGTTAACATTCACTTATGAGTTTATTAGTAATATCACATAAGGTCTCCATTATTAGTATTTAATGTTTTAATGTTTAATATTAAGATTCTTAAAAGTAAACTTGATTTTAAAAATTCAAAGCTGTCTATTAGATAATTCTTGCATTCAAAGCACTATAAAAATAAAACTGCATTTACTGGTTTCTTGTTATCTTTTCCTAATTCCACTTCTCAGCAAATAAACAAATACAAATTTGTAATTATGTTTTTCCCCTTTCTTACACACAGTTTTGTGTTTTTCTTCATAATGGTTTCTTAATTGCATTTTTGATGACTTAATGTAATAATGCCAGAAAAATTCTTAAGTGAGTAATTGCTACATTTTATAGTAAAAATAGACTTGTTTTTAAAAGTGACCAATAAAAGTTACTCCTAATAAATTTAAATGACCACAAATATGCTACAAGCCAAAAATTATATTATAGTGTAATTATAGTTTAAGACTGAATAATAAATGCTACCATTTATTAAGTGCCAGGCACTTGCTAAACACTGAACATAAGTTGACTTATTGAATTCTCACGAAGATAAGAGAGTTAGAAGGGATATTACCTCATTTTCAAAAATGGAGAAACAAAACTAAGAGAAGTAGTTTGCGTAACTTCTTTCAGTTTTGTGTGTGTGTGTGTGTGTGTGTGTGTGTATAAATATAAATACATGAATTTTTACAGATACTGAGTTTCTAGTCTGAACTCTTAACTATTATGCTATCCCCTTATGGGAAATTGCCGGCAAAACCAGGAGAGTCATGTTCTTAATAAGCATCTGCTATGTTTGAGCTTCTTAGTTTAAGAAGCCCTTTAAGATGGGAGATTTCCATTCGAAAACTAGAGCATCACACACTGGGGTCTGTGCAGGGGAACTTGGGGAGGGACAGTGAGGGGTGGGGAGTTGGGGAGGGATAACATGGGGAGAAATGCCAAATATAGGTGATGGGGAGGAAGGCAGCAAACCACATTGCCATTTATGTGCCTATACAACAATCCTGCATGTTCTTCACATAAACCCCAAAACCTAAAACGCAATATAAAAAATATATATACATATATATATATGTATATGAAAACTGGATTCTAATATATTTTTTTCTCAAAAAAAGAAGTTACCTAAATAAAAAAACTCACACGTCTTTGTCTTTGCTTTTTCCTAGCCAGGATAAAGTGGGACCCCTCTGATCCTCAAATAATATCTGAAGGTCTTTACGCAATTGCTGTAGTTTTAAGTTTCTCTAGGATAGCTTATATTTTACCAGCAAACGAAAGCTTTGGACCTCTGCAGATCTCACTTGGAAGAACAGTCAAAGACATCTTCAAGTTCATGGTCATATTCATTATGGTGTTTGTGGCCTTTATGATTGGAATGTTCAACCTCTACTCCTACTACATTGGTGCAAAACAAAATGAAGCCTTCACAACGTATGTAATCTCAGATGTTTTGATGATAGTTGTTGCAAATTAAATAAATACTAGTTTAATAGTGTTTTTTTAAGTCCATGGGATAAATAATGTTTTGGTAAAGATTTCATGTCTAATTCCTCTTTTGCAAAATGAGAGGGGGTTTTAAAAATGAGTTGGAGGGGCTCTAAAATGTAGGAACCTTTCTAATATTAAATAATGATAACATTTTTAGAGCCAATAAATACCTTGCATGCCTCCCTTTATTACCTCTGTTTCACTAAGAAGAAACTGAAATTCACAAAAATTAAGTAATTTGCTGAATATTCCAAAGTGGGATGTGGAACAGCCAGGGTGTAACCTTTGCTTGCTCCTTCTAGGGTCTGTTACTCTGAACTCCCTTGCCCTCCTGCCTGTGGTACTCCAGGGGACAGTAACTATGAAAACAGCTGCTTTCCTAATTGAATTTCTCAGATCTTATCACTGAATAGATCTGACTTACCAACAGTGATGAGTTTTGACTTATGTTCAATGTGGAAGTGTGCTTTTTTATAAAGTATGTTTGGGATAGATTATTAAAATATTAGGTCTTCAGTGTTACAATGAGAAGTAACAACTGAAACATAAGCCTACCGTTTTCCATATTTCTCTAAAATACAGTTTGCCAGGGAAATGAAACCACGTGAGTTAAGCAAATTGGCTTAGCTTTGGTCAATAATTATGCCTAAAGCATTGAAATTCCTACCTACGATGTGTCAGTGATTTTGGTAACACTGTTTATATTGTCATATTTTCCATTAAGATGTATATGATTATTATTTATTGGATACACATAAAAGTATAGATTAGCAGTAAACTTAAAATGATTCTAACAAATTATATTATTTTTAAGTAGTACATTTAACAATTCCATTCCCAAAACTATGGATTAAGTGTTCATATCTGTGGTTACGAAATTATGTTCATAGCATTTATTGGGTGCTTATTATGTATTTAGATATTGAGCTGTGATTGTGTACTTCATATGCACAATATTATCCCATCCTTGCAACAATCCTATTGTGACCATTTTATAGAAAATAAAAGTCAGCTTCAGAGAAATGAAGAATATTTTAAATAAATTCTCACTAATTTGTAAAGACACTAAACCGGCTCACTTTTATTATGGTACTATTGTTATTTATTTATACTTTCTTATTTCTTTTATTTTTTCCCAGAGTTGAAGAGAGTTTTAAGACGCTGTTCTGGGCTATATTTGGACTTTCCGAAGTGAAATCAGTGGTCATCAACTATAACCACAAATTCATTGAAAACATTGGTTATGTTCTTTATGGAGTTTATAATGTTACAATGGTCATTGTTTTGCTAAATATGTTAATTGCCATGATCAACAGTTCATTCCAGGAAATTGAGGTATAATCTCAATACATTTTATCATTTGTGCCTTCTTGTTTTAACTATTCTAAGAACTAACTCAGCAATGAGGATGAGACTATGGGCTGCTGTTCCCCCTTCATTCATTTCCTGTTTTATATACTCGTTTGATCTTTGCTTCCAAATGTAATATCAATAAGGTATAGTGGGGCAGTAAGGCATAAGAAGCAGAAATGCTGATTTGTTATTCATTTAATAAAAAATTTTAGAAATACTATATCAGCATGAGTTTATATTTTATTCAAAAAATTGTTTATGAATACCATTATTCTTCAAGTCTTTTCTGAGTGATATTCAAAATTAACCTTTTCTCAAGTTGAGATTAATAGTAGGAATTTTTATTCCAGAAATCTTGATCTGTGTCCCAAATAACTGAGTGGTATATTGCAGGATAAAAGAGAGAATAATTTTTCTTGCTGTTTTTCAGAAAGTAGGAAAATAGATTTATATCTATCAGATATTTATAAACACATGTGAACTTGGAGATTCATAGTCCTGTAAGACTGTCAAAATTTTAGACAAAGTTAAGAAAGAGTGTGTGAATAGAATGTTAACATTTTGAAAAAATCTTGGAACCATCGCTGGGGTCTGAGAGTGTTTGTAGGCATTGTTCTCCATCTAGCCACACAATGTTAAAAGCCTCCCAGTAATTCTGTTTATGCATTTCCTTCCTGAACTGCCATGTGTATTTGTGTAGGATGACGCTGATGTGGAGTGGAAATTTGCAAGGGCCAAACTCTGGTTTTCCTACTTTGAGGAGGGGAGAACACTTCCTGTTCCCTTCAATCTGGTGCCAAGTCCAAAGTCCCTGTTCTATCTCCTACTGAAGCTTAAAAAATGGATTTCTGAGCTGTTCCAGAGTCACAAAAAAGATTTCCAGGAAGATGCAGAGATGAACAAGGTAACTTCACTTGATAATTTTTAGTTGTATTCTTAAATGCTGTGACTACTGTAACCACTATGCCACATCCCTTTAAAAAGCAGCAGTTCCTGATGACATGTCCATTCGTGACTACTGTAACCACTGTGCCACATCCCTTTAAAAAGAAGCAGTTCCTGATGCTCTAAAAGTTCCTGATCCCTTTAAAAAGAAGCAGTCCATCTATCCCACATGCAGCCACTTCACACAGTACAGTCCTTTGGTTTCTGTCTGTTTAACATGAGCACACTGAACGTTTCCTACTTAAAAGAATATAAGAAAAATTCATGAAGTATAACTAAAATAATGTGTTGTGTTATGTGGAGTGAGTACTGAGAGAAGAGCTGTGCTGGGCTGCTTTTTTGCTGTTGTGGCTTCATCTCCCTACCTTCTCTTTCAATTTATAGAGCCAAGTAAAGTATCAGCAGCTAGTTATGCCTGGGGGGCAACTTGATGAACTCTTAGATACCCTCCACAATGAAAAGTTCAGAAATCAGTTGCTCTCATGCAATTTGGGAGACCAGGCTTGGCAATGAGCAGTTCAAGAAAGAAAGCGCTCAGGACATTGATTGAAAACAATAATCCCACAAGGTGATGAAGTCTTTAAAAAACCATGAAAAGATTTAGTGCTTAGATGAGGCAGTGGGGCCATCACAACATGTTCAGATATGTTTAGAGAACATGTGGAATTTGTATCTAACTGGAGGGGGAAAGTGAGCAATTATGCTGTGCAAAGCTCCCTGCTGAGCACAGACCACTATACTCAGAAGGAGCACTGAGATACCGGTTGCATCTAGAGGAGGAGGACCAGAATGGGACACATATGGATATAGTGTCATATGAGGGAGAACTGAGGGAGCTGGCTGTTTCTTCTGAAAAAGGAACATTGAAGATGACCAAAAATGTCTTTATAATTTCCATCTTTAATTAGGAAGTACACTTGTTTTTCCAAAATGGGAAGAGAAGCAATGGGCAAAAAATTCAAGTAGTTAAATTTTAATTCGGTCTAAGAACAAACTTTTAACAAGAAAATCTGCCCAACAGAAGAGTGGGCTGCCTTTAGAAGTAGTGAGCTTCCCACCATTGTAGGCAGTCAATAAATGCCAGGTGGCTGACAGTGGGAATTTATTGAAGATTTTTCCTTCTTACACTGCATGGGTAACTGGGCCAAATGACTATAAAGTTTCCTTGGAACAATAAGATTCTATCATTAAGTAAAATGAATGTTGCAATTCTTGCACTGTTTGTTTGCAATTTACTATTTAGAGTTCTCAAGTAAATAACACATTCTCTGAGTTCTAGTTTCCTCATCTGTCATATGTGAAAAAATTATATCTACATCCTGATGATCAAATAAGCATATAAAAGTACTTTCAGAATTTTAAAGCTTTCTTTAAATGTAGTTATGATTAATTTGTGCAGAAACTTTGGAAACATATACCATCTATGACATTGTTCCAGAAATATAACTTATAGAACTCAGTGGCAAAAAATTCCCCTTCTTTCTTTTATGTAATTAAATTAGTGGTTTACAGGTCTGGTTAGAATTGCAGCTTGAGGGAATTCAGAGTCCAAAGGAAACGTCCCAGCACTTGCCAAAGGGAAGAACCCAGTAAGAATATGTTCCTTTCATTAAACTTGTTGGGGAATTAGACCAGATGGCTTTTAAAATACGGAATGAAGAGTGAAACTGGTTCTGCAGTTATACTCATTACACGTTCTGTCTTTAAAAGATACATGAAGAAAAGAAACTTGGAGTTTTAGGAAGTCGTGAAGACCTTTCAAAATTATCGCTTGACAAAAAACAGGTAAGCTAATATTTGAAAATATGAAATCATGCATATGAGCAGGTTTGTCTTTTCAGAGAAAGGGACAGATATTCAGAAGCAGTTTTAAGAAGTAGAGAACAGACACATTAAAGAATTCAACTATTTTAACAATTCTCAAAAATTCCGTTACTGAGAGGTGGAAGTAAGCCTATAACTTGATAAGCAAAAAAGAATTATATGTATATTTAAGACATATATTAAGCACATACGTATGGTGATGGAATATAGGACTAGTCATACAGAGGGGAGAATATGAAGAGATGAATCTGTCAAGAACCTGACGGAGGATATGATTAACTTCACTTTCTGCAGCTCAGGTAGAGAGCACACGTGGTCCCCAATGCCTCCTAATTTGTCAGTAATCAAGAAGTGATGGAAAAAGGCACTGTGGGACCTTAATGGCTATTGTGGTAGACACCGTTTATAGTGAATGATGTGTTCTAGAGATCTGTCAGTTCCTTCGCTGGGAGTCGCGAAATCCTCAACAATGAGGACATGTTTCATTTTTTGTGGGATGCACATAGTAAGGGCACAATAAATGCTTGTTGCTAAAAGGGATAAATGAATGAATTAGGAAAAGGGCAAGGTATCAGGTAGGACTTACATTCAATTACACATAGTAATATAAAATCCAAATCATGCGGTTTAAACAAAACAGTTGTTTCTTCCCTGCCTCATTTAACTCTCCAGATTTAGACAGTATGTGCCTGTTGTCAGGCGTGGGTTTCTGTGATTCTCTTGGATTTTTTTCACAGTCAGGTGTAAGAGGATAGCTTTTCCTTCTGCTACTGTAGCCACTTTTCAGGCATGTTAGGAGTAAGGGCAAAGGAAACGTAGGGCATGCTAGCTTAATCTGCCACCACGCTCAGAAGACTCTCCCAAAAATTTCTGTTGTTATATCTCATTGACCAGAACTATGCTACATGGCCATCCCATGGAACCCAAATGCCAAGGAGGGAGACTGCTTTTGTGTGTGTGTTTTAAGCTGGTTATGTTACCTCCCCCAACAACATAGGAATCCTTTTACGGCCTGTCTGATATCCAGCCACCCAGCCTCCTTTCTAACCATCGCTTCCACTAGCATGTCAATAATTACCTATTACAAATCAGAACAAAAAGGAGAGCTTTAAGTAAGGGAAACACTAAACTATTAGCCCTAGTAAGATTAGGAAATTTGACTGGGAGGAGCTTCCAAAGAACAGTTTCACAGGTAGGAAGGGCTGCAGTTGGAGGTAGCATGTGGGTGAGAGACTTATGCATGAATTCTGTGAGCCCTGCCACAGTCTGGGGCACAGCCATAGTGATGGGGCCACGTGGGTTGAGAGTAAGACAGCAAGAAGGCAAGTAGAAATCATCCCTGGTCATCCAAGAGAGTCAGCAGATTAGGGTCATTGCAAATTGGCACATTCTTGCTGTTCAGACAAGTTACGTTTGTCTTGCCTTTCCATGCGAATCTAGATTGCATTTAAAAATGATTGCAATAAGGGAAATTTAAGACATGGAAAATAAGTTATATAACAGAGCTCCAAAGTCATTTCACTCTAGAAAGATAGTTTAGTAGTTAGGAGGCTAGTGTAGGGGTCAACAAATCATAACCCTCAGGCCACATTCAGTCTTGAGCCTGTTTTTGTTCAGACTGAGAGAGATTTTTAAAAATTACATTTCTAAAAAGTTGTGAAAAAATGAAGGATATGTGAGAGAGGCCATATATGGCCCACGAATCCTAAAATATTTATTACCTATGCAAATGTAATGTCTCATAAAGAAATGGCTCTTTTTGTTATTTGGTTCTAAATGTCAATAAATTTTTTGCAATAATAGGTCATTGTAAATTGGATCTTACATTTTTCTAGTATGAAAATACTCATGCTGAAAGCATGAAGGATGTATAATAAGTCACTAGGCAGATAGGAGAAAATTCAAATAGAACCAAAATGTCTTTTTTCTTTATGATAGAAACTATGGTGTCTGTCAAATCAAATAATTTTATTTTCCCTGTAGCTTCTCTAAAAATGTGGAAAATTAAAAATTTTACATCAGTAAAATGTATATTATATATTTAAAATGAGAGTTACACTTTTCATAATATGTATTTTTTTGTTTTTTTAATTATGCTTTAAGTTCTGGGGTACATGTGCAGCACATGCAGGTTTTTACATAGGTATACATGTGCCAGGGTGGTTTGCTGCACCCATCAACACATCATCTACATTAGGTATTTATCCTAATAATATCCCTCCCCTAGCCCCCTACCCCCGACAAGCCCCAGTGTGTAATGTTCCCCTCCCTGTGTCCATGTGTTCTTATTGTTCAACACCTACTTATGAGTGAGAACATGCGGTGTTTGGTTTTCTTTTGTCAGTTTGCTGAGAACAATGGTTTCCAGCTTCATCCATGTCCCTGCAGAGGAGATGAACTCATCCTTTTTTATGGCTGCATAACATGCCATGGTGTATATGTGCCACATTTTATTTATCCAGTCTATCATTGATGGGCATTTGCGTTGGTTCCAAGTCTTTGCTACTGTGAACAGTGCTGCAATAAAAATACATCTGCATGTGTCTTTATAATAGAATGATTTATAAATCCATTGGGTATGTACCCAGTAATGGGATTGCTGGGTCAAACAGTATTTCTAGTTCTCCATCCTTGAGAAATTGCCACACTGTGTTCCACAGTGGTTGAACTAATTTACACTCCCACCAACAGTGTAAAAGCGATCCTATGTCTCCATATCCTCTCCAGCATCTGTTGTCTTCTGATTTTTTAATGATCACCATTCTAACTGACGTGAGATGGTATCTCAGTGTGGCTTTGATTTCCATTTCTCTAATGACCAATGATGAGCTTTTCTTCAAATGTTTGTTGGCTGCATAAATGTCCTCTTTTGAGATGTGTCTGTTCATATTCTTCACCCACTTTTTGATGGGGTTATTTTTTCTTGTAAATTTGTTTAAGTTCTTTGTAGATTCTGGATATTAGCCCTTTGTCAGATGGGTAGATTGCAAAAATTTTTTCCCATTCTGTTGGTTGCCAGTTCACTCCAATGATAGTTTCTTTTGCTGTGCAGAGGCTTTTGAGTTTAATTAGATCAGATTTGTCTATTTTGGCTTTTGTTGTCATTGCTTTTGGTGTTTTAGCCATGAAGTCCTTGCCCATGCCTATGTCCTGAATGATATTGCCTAGGTTTTCTTCTAGGATTTTTATGGTGTTAGTTCTTATGTTTAAATCTTTAATCCATCTGGAGTTAATCCAGTTTCAGCTTTTTGCATATGACTAGCCAATTTTCCCACACCATTTATTGAATATGGAATGATTTCTCTATTGCTTGTTTTTGTCAGGTTTGTCAAAGACCAGATGGTTGTAGATGTGTGGCATTATTTGTGAGGCTTCTGTTCTGTTCCATTCATCTATCTCTGTTTTGGTACCAGTACCATGCTGTTTTGATTACTGTAGCCTTGTAGTATAGTTTGAAGTCAGGCAGCATGATGCCTCCAGCGTTTTTGTTTGTTTTGCTTAGGATTGTCTTAGTTATGCAGGCTGTTTTTTGGTTCCATATGAAGTTTAATGTGTTTTTTTCCAATTCTGTGAAAAAAGGCAATGGTAGCTTGATGGGAATAGTATTGAATCTGTAAATTACCTTGGGCAGTATGGCCATTTTCATGATATTACTTCTTCCTAAGCATGAGCATGGAATATTTTCCATCTGTTGTTTCCTTGAGCAGTGGTTTATAGTTCTCCTTGAAGAGGTTTTTCATATCCCTTGTTAATTGTATTCCTAGGTATTGTATTCTCTTTGTAGCAATTGTGAATGGGAGTTCACTCATGATTTGGCTCTCTATTATTGCTGTATAGGAATGCTTGCGATTTTTGCACATTGATTTCGTATCCTGAGACTTTGGTGAAGTTGCTTATCAGCTTAAGGAGATTTTGGGCTAATACGATGGGGTCTTCTAAATATACAATCTTGTCATCTGCAAATAGAGACAATTTGACTTCCTCTTTCCCTAATTGAATACCTTTTATTTATTTCTCTTGCCTAATTGACCTGGCCAGAACTTCTAATACTCTGTTGAATAGGAGTGGTGAAAGAGGGCATTCTTGTCTTGTGCCAGTTTTCAAAGGGAATGCTTCCAGTTTTTGCCCATTCATTATGATATTGGCTGTGGGTTGGTCATAAATAGCTCATTATTTTGAGATACATTCCATTAATACCTAGTTTATTGAGAGTTTTTAGCATAAAGGGCTGTTGAATTTTGTTGAAGTCCTTCTCTGCATCTATTAATTATGTGGTTTTTGTCTTTGGTTCTGTTTATGTGATGGATTACGTTTATAGATTTGCATATGTTGATGAAGCCAAGTTGATTGTGATGGATAAGCTTTTTGATGTACTGCTGGATTCAGTTTGCCAGTATTTTATTGAGGATTTTTGCATCAATGTTCTTCATGGATATTGACCTAAAATTTTCTTGTTTAGTTGTGTCTTTGTCTGGTTTTGGTATCAGGATGATGTTGGTCTCCTGAAATGAGTTAGGGAAGATTCCCTCTTTTTGTACTGTTTGGAATAGTTTCAGAAGGAATGGTACCAGCTCTCTTTGTACCTCTGGTAGAATTCGGCTGTGAAACTGTCTGGTCCTGGACTTTTTCTGGTTTGTAGCTTATTAATTGCTGCCTCAATTTTGGGCCTTGTTATTGGTCTATTCAAGGATTTGACTTCTTCCTGGTTTAGTCTTGGGAAGGTGTAAGTGTCTAGGAACTTATCCAATTCTTCTAGATTTACTGGTTTATTTGCATATAGGTGTTTGTAGCATTCTCTGATTGTAGTCTGTATTTCTGTGCCATTGGTGGTGATATCCCCTTTATCATTTTTTATTGCATCTATTTGATACTTCTCTCTTTTATTGTTTACTACTTTGGCTAGTGGTGTATCTATTTTGTTGATAGTTTCCAAAAAAAAACAGCTCTTGGATTCATTAATG